AGCACTGCCCTCAAACACGCAGGCGATGTGTTTGTGCCATGCCAGCTTATACCAATTTTCACGCTGGCAAGAAAAAAGCACCCTTACTCTGTGCATCCACTGCAAGTTGAATACTTCTGGGATTTTAAAAATCTGTCACAAGACTTTAAAATTCTCAGTGTGAGAAGAGACTCCGATGACAAAGAACCTGTCAACTGGACAAACATAATGGAGTTGAAAGTCACAAATGATCATCCGTCTACTGTCTTTTACAAAAACAGTCACAAACAGGAGACATACACGTCCCTCACATTAAAGCGTCAACAGGCTGATGTCAAGAAATTTCCGTTGTTGAAGCTGAACAGTGGGCCCATCAATATTCCTGCTTCAAAGTATGAGGACCTCATTTCCCTGGTCTCCGGAAATACGGCTCTTGTGAGAGCTGATGAGCACAAAGCGTTCTATATGTCTTTGCCTCACTAAGCTGTGTATTCATTCATTTTCGAAGTTCCTAAGCATATTTTTACTTGATGTATAAGTAGGCCTACCAATTTAAAAACATCTTCCATTTTCAGATAATAAAAAAAAATTGAGACACGCATTTATAATTATTGTTCTGTCTAGACCCAATGATTTTCAATTTCATGTATAACGTAAAATGAGGATGCGTTCACTGAGGTAGGACGTTTGCGTGCGTGTGTGTATGTGTCTGGTGTCTGCGTGACGTGAGCAATATGGGAATAAAAAGACATTATAGGCCCTAACCTTTTTCAATGATACCCCTGTACTGCGCCCTGGAGTTCTTTTTATGTTTGATAATGATCGTAGCAAGCTACGGCTGCTTGTTCGGTATTTTATAATGATATTACAACTGCTCAGCTGAATGCTGCTATGTCAATGAGTTTGATTTGTTTACTTTATTAAATCCAAGGTGGATGCATGGTAAAATCAGTTTTGGTTTAATATTTCGTGACAAAAATATTGCTGCCTGAAACAAATGTGTGTTTAATACAATTTGTGCACTTGGTTCTTTTGTATTTCTTCTAACGCGATTAAAATATTTCAAAGGAATTTACAACGTATTCTTTGTATTTTTATGGGCATATCCTGATTTTGAGGACACAACTAAAAATTGATAATCACACGTAGAGACGTATCGGAAAATTTCCCCGTTTTTGGCGGGAAATTGCCAACAGTATTGCACTGCGACTGATCCACATAGTGGAGGACGTCTCCGTGGTTACTATCTTCAAATTTGGTAAGGCAGCGAAGAATCATTTGTCAGTAAAAAGAACAAATGCATATTAAAAAATTAGCTCAAAACTTTAAACGGGTCTCTTGAAAAACAAAGAAATGATCAATACGCCCCTACGTGAGATGGGCGAGGCGGGTTTTTTTAAATAAAATCTGCTTGTTCTGTAGAGTCTTGTCCTTGAGCTTGGCCTGGATTCCCGGGGGGGGGGGGGGGGGGGGGGACCTGACTAGCTCATTACTTAGGACTGTAGGACATGATGATAGAGACTGTCTGTATACTGTGTGTGAGTTGAAGATGATGGTTTGTGTGTGTGTGATGTGTTCTTTTTGGAATTGGTTGGGGTGGAAGTGGAGCATAGGGTCTGTGGCATCTGAGACAAGTTCTTTGTTCTTGTGGTTTCTGTGTGTGATTCCATTTTAGTTTTTTTTGGGGGGGAGGGGGGAGGGGGCTTAAAACCGTCCAGACATAACGTCTCTGTTGTTAAATACACACAGAAGTGTACAGTTGAAATTATCTGTGATATGCATGTAGTGTAAGATTTATTTATACATGATATGAATAAAATTTTGGTCATTGTTATGAGCATTTGCTTTGACTTGATTATTACAATTACATCAATACATTTGTGACATCTCCAGGTTCTGCTGTCTGGTTATTATTTAGTTCTGCTTTGTGTTTTTCCCTCTGTGTTTGTGTGAGTGGTCAAGTGATAAGGCTGTTGGGTGTGGGTGGTTGGCGGGTGCTCTGGTGTGGTTTGCTCTTTCCTTCCTATCAAACATCTATCGTCCTTATCTCTCCTCCTTTTTAGTGTATGTTACTCTCTTGTAACACCTCTATTCTTCTGCATTTTCATTTATATGACCGCATTAAGTTGCAAGTGCCGTAAAACTTTTACTTTAGAAAAAAAAGGCTGTTGGGATGGCAGGCAAAAGGTCGTCAGTTTGGATCTCATCAGGGTCCCGATGTTGTGTCCTTGGGATAGGCTCTTGAGGCGAATTTTCCCTCGCTTCACCCAGGTGTGAATGGGTACCTGGCCATAGGCAGCGAAAGATAATGTTAGTAGTGTGTTAGTTACTTATCACGTAAAGTGGCTGCTTGCAGTGTGTGCTTCCCAGGAAGTTGAAGTTGTTTCAGAATTCTGTCAGTAGTATCAGGTCTGCCAGGGTAATAATATAGATTGTAAAGCGCATAGAGCTTGCAGTTAAGCGGGATTTTGCGTTATACAAATGCTATTACTATTTATCAATATATCAATCATTATTACGCGTACTTGGTCTGAGCCTATGGTTGGATGTCGTCACTGGTAGATCCAACACCTTTTTTTCCCTCTTTTGTATCTGTCGTAGGTGGTTGGTGGGTGCTCTGGTGTGTTTTGCTCCTTCTTTCCTAGATCCTATCAAACATCTACCGTCGTTGACTCCCCTCCTTCTATTTTGAGTTTGTTACTCTCTTGTAACACCTCTAATCTTCGGCACTTATATGACCTTATTGTGTTGCAAGTGCCGTAAAATTCGTACTAAAACTAAAAGCTTTTTAGTTGTACACACCAGTGTCTGGTGCAGTGGCTAGGCAGGCCACTGTCAAATGCAGAAGACCCAAGTTTGATTCCCGTTTTAAAGAATATTAATCTATTGAATATCTCCTCAAGCTTTCTGCTGGGACGTTTGTTGCATCCCTCTCCTCTCAGCCCAAGTTGACCCTGACAGGCAGGGTCGAAAGCCCGCCTCCTCCTACTAAACGATTTTAATATATCATGTTAGCAGGGGTAGGCCCAGAACAACATACTTAGGGAACCTAAACAAATGGGTAACAGGGAAAGATCAGGGAAACGTAGCTTTTTTTTTAGAGCATCTGAGCAAAGGAATGAATGGAAAACCATGATCGCCGATGTCTGTCACAGATCTGGCACTGGATGATGATGATGTTGATGGACGCGTTAAAGACCACATATCCAAAAGGTGGACATTAACATGTTCTTATGCTCAGTAAAATTGTAAATGGGCTGATTGATCAATGTCATGCTCATGTCATAACTGCCTGAACTGCATACGAAGAACTGCTGCTTTTTCTTTCCTAATCATTACTATCGTCATTTTTCCTCGACTTCTTTTCTATGTTGTCACTCTCTTGTACTTTACTTTTTTTTACTTTTATCCGCCGCGTATACCCTTTTTATAGTATAATACCCTCTCTTGTGACCTGCTGTTTCCGGGGTGCCTTGATAGTCGAAGCAGACTTTGTGTTGAGGCTTCAGGGTTGAGCAGAGTAAGTCTGATTCTCTGAATGGACTTCTCTGTTGACATTCACCCCTTGGCGGTCATATGACCTTATGCACCGTAAAAAAAAAACCTCTACTAAAACAAACAAAAAAGACCTTATTAAAAAACCCTTGAAAAACTGAAACAAATTACTAGCAGGCGTTGAAAATATCACGGTTTATTATTGAGTTATTTGGTAAACATGTAATAAATAAAATACGGTTGTGAAGGGATGGAATCCTTTGAGTACCGTGACTAAAATGACTAAATGATGGTGCACATTAGCGCATTTATGGTGCATGACAGCAAAGAAAAACAACGATTAACTGTGGCTGGGAGGCAAAAATTTTTTTTTTTTAAATGTTCGCAATATAGTTAATTGAAAGGGTTGTAATTAATACTATCAATTCCTGAAATGCACGTTAGATTATTAATTAACAACTAATCTGATTGAAGCCACTAATGATAAGCTTTGGTAAGAGATTGAAAAAGCATTTGAAGGAAAAAGAAGATAAACGAAGAGACAACTGTTTCCGCGCACCCAGTGATACTAAACAAGGCCATTGCATAAAAGCGATTGAAACTGTATTGTCACAAAAATGAGCTGACTTTGTAAATGATTTCATTATGTCATCTCCAAATTAAAATTTAAGTTAAATTTTTAAATATATTTAATTTATGCATGCATAAAGAATTATAAATCATGAATTTGAGAGAGAGAGAGGGAGAGAGAGAGAGAGAGAGAGAGAGAGAGAGAGAGGGGGGGGGGGAGCGAGGGAGAGGGAGAGAGAGAATGCTGAAGTTATGAGCAAATGATTCACAACAAAAACCATACTAATCACGACATGTACATGTGCTCTTCTCTGCTGGCAAAATACTCCGCGGTATACTCACGAGTAATGAAGATGTCTTCATGGAACGACAATCTTTTCTTTCATGTAGGGGATTTTGATACGCTTTAGATCATTTAAGAGGCGGGCTGCTGACCCTGCCTACCAGGGTAAACCAGGGCTGAGAGTGGGGGGGGGGTGCAAATGTACAACTTCCCAGAAGAAAGACTGAGATTTAAAAAATAATATATATTATTCTCCCAACACGGGAATCGAACTTGAATCTCCTTCGTGCAACAGGGAAGCACCTAACCACTACACCACAGACGCCAGTTCGACAATTTACTAATCTCAGAAATAAATAAACTGCATTACTGACCCTTGTTGAAAGCGAATGGATAAAGTGCACTAGATCTACTCACCCTGGTACAGAGCGAATTAATAAACCACATTACTACTCACCCTGGCAGAGAGCGAATTAATAAACTGCATTACTCATCCTTCTAGAGAGCGAATTAATAAACTGCATTACTCACCCTTCTAGAGAACGAATTAATAAACTGCACTACCCACCCTGGTAGAGAGTGAATTAATAAACTACATGTACATTAGGTCTACTCACCCGGGTACAGAGCGAATTAATAAATTGCAGTACTACTCACCCTGTTAAAGAGCGAATTAATAAACTGCGCTAGATCTACTCACCCTGTTAGAGAGCGAATTAATAAACTGCATTAGATCTACTCACCCTGTTAGAGAGCGAATTAATAAACTGCATTACTCACCCTAGTAGAGAACGACATTTATTTATACTTTGTGCATGTACATGTGTGACAAAATGCAAATTATGACGGCATCGGTAATGAATCGAGGGGAGCACAAAATCTTTCCCAGTTTTCAGTTCGAAAACCCCCCCAGAAATGTTGGAACGACTTTCCAGTCTCCCTGTACGAAGTCAATACGGATGAATAATTATGAATAATATAGTACACAGTACTTGTGCTGACATGTACAGATAGAAGACTTAACACAGCCGATTAATAATCTTCTATATTTCACAGGTGTACAAAGTTATCTGATACAATTTGCCAAAAGACAAAACAAACAAACAAACAAATAAATAAACAAAAACAGTAATAATAATGCGGCTATGTACATCTATTTATAAAGTATAATTATCCTTTAAAGATGTGTGAGGAGGTAATATATTATTGACATAGTTACCGGTAGGAAGGTATACATCATTATGTAAGAAATAGGGATATCATAAGTACATTTACAAAGAATAAACCATTCAAACAAAGGCCAGACAAATTCACACAAAACTCACCTACTGGTGAAATTAAAATAAAACAAAACAAAACCAATAAACAAACAAAAAAGCACCCCCCCCCCGAAAAAACAATAGAAAACCGAACCAAACAAACCAGTAATAAAAATAAACGCAACGCATCTCAAGAACTCAAGATTCATTTCCACCTTAGAATGACAAATTTCGGGCCAAATTGTTTCGAACTGTCTGTTGTCCTCGCGTGTATGCAAGACTGTAACAGAGATTGATCAGAAAACCTGGAGTCAACCAATGAACTCAGGCAGTTGGCAAAGTGGCAAAGATGAGGGTGGGGTCATCATTAACATTATTCTACGTTCAAACGAAGAAATGGAATGAAAAATGCCATTACTTTACTGTACCATTTACATTGTAAGAAATCGTTTCAGACATCCTTTTCAACATAAATGTAGGCCCTACCTATTCAACGACAGAAAGATGAACGCTAAAACAACTAGAAACTAGAAAACAGGAAACGTGTAGGCCTACTTTGTATTTGAAGCCAAACGTGGTTTGGATTTATTTTTGGAAAACAAAACAAAACTAAACCTAACAAAAGGGCAAACAAAATGTCAGGTGACAAAGACAAGTAGACACCGTAACTATAACTCTTTCATCCTCGATGTCTCATTTAATGCAATGGATTCTCGCTATATTATTATATATATAGCAAGCTAAATTAATTTGATCTGACAGATAAAATAAACCCTTCGAATTATCCATGCACACAACGAACAACATTCACTGATCAAAAGATGAAGTTACGAACATGACGTAATCATTTTCAGATATCCAAGAGTGACGTTCTAAGCATTGTAATAATCATACGCATTTTAGTTTTGGCTCAAATTGAATGTACCCCATAGTGATATAATAGTGAATCGGAAATACGTCTGACGGCAAGATCTCGGATATTATTTGATGTTAACCGCATTGCTTTGAATCTCTCTTACCTTAATTAACAAAGGTTAAAAAGACTCGATAATATGGTCTTTGGTGGGACAAAGACACACACTAAGAGAGTCGGTAATTAAAGCATGGTAATATAACATTGTTTTATGTACAAGGCGTCTAAAAAAAGATGATGTCTGTTCAGTGTACCTTATATTATATACTTGTACATGAAAGCATCAAAGTTTTCCTTTTCCGCTTCAGTAGTCTCCGCTTAAACGCACGCAATACAAAAGCACGCTCCACTCAAACGCATACTTTCGTCAAAATGATGGGGGTTTTCTCTATAATTTAGACGCAGAAACGCACGGCCACTCCCTCCAAACGCACGCTCCGATCCCTGGAACATGTCGACAGGTACAATGAAGTTGTTCACCAAGAAACACATGCATTGCTATTTATTGACCTGGCACTGCTCCTATGCACTTTGCGACACGGCATACGGTTATTCAAAAAGAAGAAAAAACAAAACCAAAAACATAATTGCATAGGTTTTTATAAGCGACCCTTGCAAAATTGTTGGCCTAAAATCATCATTTAAACGGTTGGCAACCTTCAAATTTAGCACACATCTCATACTGAACGGTGCCAAAATATACCTACATTCATGCAAAGTACCTTTTTCAAGGACGCTATGTGAGATCGAGCCAAAGATAGTACATGAAAAGATGGTCCACTCAGGCAAAAAAAAGTGTCCGCCGGAAGTCTGCTCTTTGCTTCAGATGGCGCTGCAGTCTGTTTTGAAGCTCTCTTTCGTTTCTCCAGAAGAAGAATAGGAATAGCACCTCCTTGCGTGCGCAGATCGACTGCTGTTCATCAGCTGTTCGGGTTCGTTCAGTGCGGAGTTTTAAAGTTTTTAAAAATTTTAATGACCTCTCGCCTCTTATTCTAAAGTCAAATTAAACGAAGAAAACAGTCGCCCCTTCCTCCGGAAAAGGTTATTTGTGAGGCACCGTGGTGGAATCAGGCTCTCGTCAAAATAATCAAAGTGAAGAAACTTGGCATTTTTCCGCAGGTTTGTGAATTTTTATCAAATTTTTGTTTTTGGCTCAACACCTTTCATGCCTATTAAAGAACTCATTTCTGTGGATTTTTTTGAAAAGCATTGAATAAAGGCACAAAAATGTAAATTTTCAGTTTCCACAAACTCTTAAGCTAAGGTAATAACTAATCTTTGCGGCCATTTTCTCACTAATTTTACCTCTGAAAACAGGTGACCCCCACCTCCTTCTTTCGCAAATATCTCGACTTGTGTTCAAGATAAATGGATATTTTTTTCATCCAAATAAAGACAAGTAAATACGCTTTAAGATGATACCAATAACTCTACATGCCCAAAAATTGACAAGAGCCTGATTCCACCATGCTGCCTCACATTTGTCAGCGTAACCATTTTAAAAAAGCGTTCTTCCGAAATTTGAATTCTTATTTATTCAAAAAACTTGTTAGTTTCACTTTGGGTTTTTTAAAACACAAGTAGGATAACTCTGTTTGCAAAGGGTGCGCATTTGTGAAGAGGGCGCCACCGAATTTAGAGGACACTTTTTTAATTGGCTCAAAGAGAGGAGTGGCCCCTCTTGTTACGTAGACTCTTTGATCGAGCTGAGCCTCAAACATCCGAATTCACAATCTCATGATTACGGGTTCTCACTCTTTTGTGACCCGCTTTTTCCGGGGTGCCTTGATAGTCGAAGCAGGCTTTGTGCTGTTGAGTTTAGAGAGGTGAGCAAAGTATGCCTGATTCCTCGTTCGGATTTTGTGCTGTTGAACTAAGAGAGGTGAGCAGAGTAAGCCTGATTCCCTGTTCGGACTTCTCTGTTGACATCTATCCCTTGGTGTTCATATTACCTTATACAGTTGCCGGCGTCGTAAAACCTTACTAAAACTAAAACGATTACGGGTCCGGTAGCCAAATAACTACATTATAGTCGCCTATAATATTTAATTAGCTGAACATCTCTTATTATGGGATAATATCCTGTCCTAATATTCACTATCCAAAGTCGGTTCAGAACGAAGTATGATGGACGACGCTATTTCTTCACTGTCTTCATTGTTTCAGGAAGCAACATCCCTGCACTCCCGACATGTCCATTGATGCTCCTTTGTTCTCTCCAAAATGTCGCCGAGGGTCTTTCCAATGATTGTGCCATTGCATATCTGTCTGGTTGAACGTTTTTTTGTTCTTTCCTGCAAGGATGCCGGATTTTCCGCTTCCTTTTTGTATTCCCAAAAGCATCCTCCTCTCCACGGAAGTACAGGCCTCTCCCTCCCTGTCTTCCTCCTCAATCAGCTGGCGAGAGAGACATTTCAGGATCTCGACCCTATCTGGTTGAACCGTGCTGTCAATTGAGGTGGTCTCACCAGCCAGTCTGTCGGCTTTTTCATTTCGACCACGCTAATGAATCACTGGGACTATTGGATAACTTTCCCTTCGGGTGTTATTCTTAGAAGGAACAGAACAGATCCACACTTCATCGTGTTTTATAACTTCAAAAACATAATACAATGAATTATGAAAGGGTACATAAATGTTTTATATCCAAGACAAAGAGATGTTAATGTTATTGAGTTTGATTAATGAATAATGTGCGTTTCAAACAGATAATTTCGTACAATAACATTTGGTGTGAATCATTCATTGTAGAAGAATACCTTTATGTTAACACTTATTTATATTCAACAAAGGTAGAAATAAGCCAGGATTAGATCATCCTTTTAAAAATTAATTTCCAACACCAACTTGATTACAGGCATAGAAATGTATGTATGTAAGTATGTATGTATGTATGTATGTATGTATGTATGTATGTATGTATGTATGTATGTATGCATGTATGTATGTATGTGTGTGTGTGTGTGTGTGTGTGTGTGTGTGTTTGTGTGTGTGTGTGTGTGTGTGCGCGCGCGCGCGCGTGTGTGTGTTTGTGAGGATGTGCGAGGGTTCGTTCGTGCATAGCAACAATAACTACCACAAAGACATACATCCACCCTCGTTTCACAATAAACACATTCCCATCATTCATAGTCCGTATTTTTTACAACGTACAGTTTAGTTTCAACATTCTACACCACACTTTTTTGTTACTTTACTTTACTTTTTCATCCTCTGTTGCCGATAAGCGTCGAGGGGAGATGCAGTTTTGTATGGTAGGCCAGCTCCGCAGCTCTTTCAGTTGTGGTGTTATGTTTTCTTAGGGTTTCCTTGACACCTTTTTTGTTTCTGCTCTTTAATTTGGGGTTGGTTGGTGGGTGCTTTGGTGTGGTTTGCTTCTTCTTTTCTATCAAACATCTATCGTCTTTATCTCCCCCTCCTTCTATTTTGTGTTTGTTACTCTCTTGGAACACCTCTAATCTTCGGGCACTTATATGACCTTATTGTGTTGCAAGTGCCGTAAACTCTGACTAAAACTAAAACTGTTTTTTAATTTTTCCCTTTTAATTTTTCTCTCAGATCAGCACTCCTTTCTGCGGATGTGTGGTCCGCGTTGAGCATGTGCGATCCACCAGTCTCTTGATGTCGCCTCGCTGGAAGTAAGCCTTGCACAGCTTGTCGTCTCTTGCATCGTAAGGAGGGATGATGTCCTTGTACTTGTTCCGCTTCTTTTCCGTGATGATGGCGTCGTTGACGAAACCTAAAATTCGATAGATAAGATAAGATAAGATTGGCGTCGTTTAGAAAACATGTGTTCGATAGAGGTAAGGTAAGGTAAGGTAAGGTAAGGTAAGGTAAGGTAAGGTAAGGTAAGGTAAGGTAAGGTAAGGTAATATAAGGTAAGGTAAGGTAAGGTAAGGAGGTAAGGAGGTAAGATAAGGCAAGATAAAGTAAAGTAAGGTAAGGTAAGGTAAGGTAAGGTAAGGTAAGGTAAGGTAAGGTAAGGTAAGGTAAGGTAAGGTAAGATAGATAAGATAAGATAAGATAAGATAAGATAATTCAAGGTAAGGTAATGTAAGGTAACATAACGTAAGATAAGATAACACACTGTACTGTAACATAACATAACATACCATAATATAACCCAACCTAACATAACAAAACATAACATCACATGACATAACACAACATAACACAACACAACATAACATAACACAACACAACACAACACAACACAACACAACACAACATAACATAACATAACATAACATAACATAACATAACATAACACAACATAACATAACATAACATAACATAATATAATATGACATGACATGAAATTACACTACTTGACATAACATAACATAACATAATATAACATAACATAAACATAACATAACAAAACAATATGTCATAACATAAAATATCATAATATAACAAATAACACAACACAATAGAACATAACATAATATAAAACAATACTTCAATGTCCCTGTGGGAACTTTCCTTTGCCTGTACAGGAATGGTAAAAAATACCCCCACATAATAATTATGTAGATGGATCTATGGGGGCTCTAGTGGCCTAGAGGTCAAGATGTTCACTTCTCATTCAATATGTCCCGGGTTCGAATCCGGATGGCAACAGACATTTTTCTTCTCTAAAATTGTCTCCTGTCACCTCCTTTCCAGTTCTAGCAATGTTCTGTTGTCTGCTTTCGTCCCCATTTTCTGCTCCCCCCCC